CTTTGTGTTTCATCCCAGGCCCGGGTTGTCATGGATCCGACTCAGCGGAAATCACGTGGTCAACACGTGACAGAATTGTTACACCTTGAGATACAATGTGTAGAACAAAAGGACTTGGAGGATCGCAAAAGGCGGGAAATAGAAACACTGTCATATTTTCCCAGCCCCGCCTAGAAACCAAAAAAGCTAACGAGCTCACATCGCGACGGCAACTCTGTCCATCTTCGCTCTCTAATAAATCATATGTACCCGCACAAGACAGAGGCCGTGTCTTTTTCCCCCGGCAGGAGACATCGCTTCGCTTTTTCCCTGCGGCGAGCTGCCCTCCCTTGTGACGTTCCACTCCACGTTCAGGCCCTCTTCACATTCTGGTCTGTTTTTTTACGTGCAAGGGGATAAAGTAAGCCGTCAAGTGATAGGACTCAGCAGCAGGCGGTAGAGAGGACAGTATTATGCCCACAACACTCCTCAATCCTCCCCGCCAGCAAGTGTGGAATCAGAGCGAAGGCACGACTTCCAACATCCCACCAAAATCTCGCATTTGGCGTAAAGCCTCTAATTTATCCTCTTCTCCTTCGAGCCTTCATCCATCCCCCTTCGCCACGAAGCACGGCATCTATTCACCCGCGACGCGTGTGCCTGTAAAGCCTTCCACCTCATCAAAGTCTGCTTCGACACCAAAAACCGGAGCTCTCCCCCTCTCCGGCGCCGACGTTTCTTCCTTCTCCATCCCTACTCCTCCATCCCAAATGCGAATCCGTACTCTAGCATCTCCCCCTGCCGCCTCCGCGTCTTCCTCATCTTCTGCCGTGCCAGCCCGGCCGTCCTGGGATTCGAACGTCAAGAACCCAGCTATATATCGCCTTACCCCCCAAGAGCAAGCCCGGCGCAACGCAGCTCTGCAGTCGTCTCAGCCCCGAGGTAGGCGAGACAAAGAGTCAGAGCGCAGTCAGCGTCGAGAAACGTCCAAGCGAGAGGCCCTGTCGGTGCCGACTTCTCCCTTCGCCGGGCGGGAAAAAGCCGTGGCGGGCTCTCCTTCGGGCTCTTTGGCCGCGCGACTGGCCTTAGGACCGATGCAAGGTAGGAGCTTTCCCCAAGGGGGCGGAAAGGACTTCTCTCACGCGGGAGCGTGCTGGGATCGGAAGGCATTTGTGCACGAAGGGAATGGCGGTCCGGGGGAGAGGAGCTCACCACAACGTGCCTTCGACCCCTCCTTGACAAGAATTCGGTCCACTCCCGACAGACGCCGGGAAAATGCCTCTCAAAAATGTCCCCGCAGCCTCGCTGAAGCGGCCCATCGCGCCAAAGCTGCAGAGTGCCTGGCGTCAAACAAGTATTTGCAGGCGGAGATGTCGGCTTTCCAGGACCGTCTGTCTCGCACGCAGGCTTCCAGGTCCTCGCTCTCTGACTTCGCGCCACGGGGGGCCCGCTCAGCTGCCCCCACCCGTGGGCAAAGACCCCAAACCCTCGGCAGGAAGTCTCTCTCCCTCACCCAGCCTTTATCCTCCTCCTACTCTTCCCACCTTCCCTCTTCCATTTCCTCTTCAACTCCCAAAGTACCTCCTCGTCCTGCCCCTCGTCCGCCTCAGCCCGCCCCTCCACACACCACTACAGCCCGGGCAAGGCCTCTGTCTGTCGATACTCCCTCCTCCCTTACCCCTCGCGACGCAGCCGCTTTCTTTCGCACCCTCCTGGCATGCCCGCCTCTCGGCCCCCTCATGAGCACAGCCGAATTGCAATTCTTGCGCTCGGTCTCGCCCTGCGACGCCTCCTCCCTCCCGCCCTCTTTTCTCCTCTCCCTCGCTGCTCGCATGGCTGATCGTCTCTCAGCTTTGCAAGAAGAGAACGAAGTGCTGCAAGCGCGCCTCGCACTCTCGGAGGTCCGGAGGGAAGGACTGAGGGAGGGGCTGAGGGAGGGGATGAAGGAGGGAGCGGGGACAAGTCAAGATCCGTTATCGACGGAGAAGATGGCCAACGACGTGAAGCAAGGGACCCCTCTAGCCTCCATTCCATTTCCCAAGCAACCATCAAGGGGGATCCACCACGACAACGAGGGAGGGACGAAAAACGGAGAGCTCCCTACGAGCGGACAGCAAAAGCCGAGCGCGAGGGCGGCCGAGGCGATAAATGCCATGAAAAAGGGAGGCAGTGTCCGCGGGGGGAGGGAAGAAGGGAACGACAAGACCGCTTCTCTGCGAGTGAGTTGGCTGGATGCAAGTGTCACTGCGGAGGAAAATGCGGCGCTGTTGACAGCGTTGGAGGGGATCTACCCCGCACCGGCCATCCAGCGGGACCGTGCTTGTGCCCCGGCAGCTGTTGTTTTGAATGGGAGGGGGTCGGGGGGCCCAGGGAGTGAAGGGGGGAAGGAAGCCTCGCTGGCGTCCACCCCTGCCACCTTCGGGCCCTACCTTGGCGCGCCGGCCCCTCTTTTCGAGGAGCTGGGCAGATGGATGAGACCTGGCTCATGGCGGCGGACACTGAGGCCGCAAAGATGACAGGCATTGGATGGAGTGCTAGGATAGGCTGCTCGCAGAAAAAGATATTTGAATGCGGGCCTAACGCAATATCACGGACACACCGCCCCTCCCACATGCCCCGCAGAACGTGTTGTTTAGTGTCTTCATTCAGCTTCTGAGTTACTTTTAACATTCTTGTGCATGGAAGGGCCTGGGCCCCCATGACTTGCACGACCGTCACACGCGCCTTCTCATTATCATACAACTCTATTTTTGCCCTCCTAGACTTTCCCGTTCCTGCCCCTCCTCTAAACGTTTCCTCTGTAGAAGCCCCCCTAGCCGTCGCAGACACCCAATCCCTGGCCGGCTCCCTGTGCTCTATTATTAACCCTATCTTCACCGAGTTGTGGCATCCATTTCCATCCGCATACTTTACCTCCTCCAGTTCCCTGCATCCTCCTTTCTCCTCCAACACTACCGGCCCTCCCCTCCTTCAACGGGCAGCCCCCGCCGCCAAGGTCCATCGTCAGGACCCCCTCCCCGCCGCCCTCTCTCCTGCTGCTGCCGTTGTGCAACCGGGCTCCGGCCAGCCGAATACCCGTCCCTCCTCCCCTCCTCCCCGACAGCCACGCTCGAGACTTTCTGCCGCCTCTCTCCCCCTCCCACCCCCCCGCTTCCACCACCCCCACTCCCTCCCACCCGCCCCTTTTCTGCCCTCCGCGCCAGGCCCAGCACGTCCTCCCCGCCACTGAGCCACAGGGAGGGCGGCGCATCCGGGGCCTCCACCTCCCTCCCCCATCTCCCCCGCCGCCCTTCCTTCACTCGGAGCTCCATGGGGCCGTGCGCGAAGTCGCACTTGTTCTTCCGGCGCATGGCACACGTGGGGGGGCCCTCCGCCCCGCCCTCCCCGCCCTCCGCCGCCCCCGGCACGCAGCTCAGCTCGTAGTGCTGACAGAGCCGAGTCCGGTACCTCGCGTCCGTCAACATCCGGGTCAGGTGCGGTGGACGAGGACGCGGCTTGCCCGCCTCCCCCCGCTTCGCCCAGTGCTCCGCCGGGCGCCACCAGCCCCGGCTGTTCGAGGATGCAGCCAAGCTGCTGCCCGCAAAGACGACAACTTGGGAGAGAAAGAGGGCGTTGGCTGGATCGGGAGAAGCCGGCTCGGCGCCAGCGCCTTTCTCTTCAAGGCTAGGCGTGTGCGGGGCGCCTGATTTGCTCAAAAGGGGAGGGCCTTCCCCCCCTGCCTTCCCCTGGCCTCGGTGAGAGAGCTCCTGCGAGGCTGCCACCTGGTTGTCCTCTTCGTAGTCCTGGCGCAGATCCTTCTCGGGCCCCATGTAGGTCTGAAAGAGCTTGTCGCGCGTGAGCAGGCGGGTGCAGACGCCGTGGCAGTGCATCAAAAGGCGGGGGAAGTGCCGCTGCCAGTAGCGATACAGCCCTAGGGGGAGGGAAGGAGGGTGTTAGAGGATAGCACCAGGGACGGTGGACTGGAAGGAGCATGCGACACATGCAAAGGGATGCCCCCTCTGCGTGAGGGCATCGACACGTCTTCTGCCGGCCCCTCGCCCTCGCCTCTCATGGACGCATCCCCCCGCCCTCCTACCTCCGGGTAGGGGCGCCAGGACCCGCTGCACCGCCTCGGGAAGCTCGTGGAAATGGTGTCGCTTGTTCCTGAGGATGCGGAGACAGTCCCGCACCGAGGCCGTATCGTACTTCCGGTACCTGTTCACGTCCACCAGGAGCCCGGCGTCGAGACGCGCGTCCCAGGCCGACCCCACCACCTCCGCGGCTCCTGCCTCCACGGCCAGGGCGAGCAAGGAGTCCGCCGGCTCCTGCTCCACCCGGTCCGAGAAGTCGACGAGGAACGCCAGGCGCCGGTCCTCTGCCCAGAAGAAGGGGTGGTGGAGGACCATGCGGGCTGTGGGTCGCCGCGCCGGGTCCGGGGAGAGCATGGCCTCGAGGAGATGCCGGGCCTCGGGGATCTCCGCCAGCCCGCTCAGGTCCCGCTTTCCTTCTAGAATGTTCCGCTCCCGCTCGTACCACTCCCCGAAAGGGTGGGCGCCCGGGACCAGGACCGTGTAGAAGACGCAGCCGAGGGAGAAGACGTCCACGGCCTGCGTTCGCCGCCCCGAAGCGGAGGGAGGGCGGGGAAAGAGCTGCTCGACCTCGCGAGCCCGTGCCCATTCCCAGCCCCAACTTCCTCCTCTCTGCCTCCCGCCACCGCACCGGTGTCCTCCAGCCCCAGGCGCGCCGCCAACACCTCCGGCGCCTGCCAGCCCACACTTCCCGGCCCCAGCGGCACGGAGGACTGCGCCTCCTCGGGACGAGGGGCGATGGAGGAGGAGGAGGAGGAGGAAGGTGGCGCGCCTGTGGAGGCGATGGTGGAGGGGGGAGGAAAGCGGGATTTTCCGGATTTTCCCGGGGCCGAGAGGGACGTGACGCCGAAGGAGGATTGCCCCAGGGCAAGGAGCTTGCCCACCCCCATATCGCTGATCTTGCAGACGTACTGGCTGAGCTCCTCCACGCCGTCGACCAGGAGGGGGGGAATGGAGGACGGGGCGGAGGGCGAGTGGGAGGCAGGGGCGGAGGGGGTGGTGGAGGCGGAGGCGAGGAGGATGTTGTGAGGCTTGAGGTCGCGATGGACGATGCGCAGGGAGTGGAGGTGCGTGACGCCCTTGGCGATTTGGAAGAGGGCGCTGCGCACAGGCGCCGGGACCACGCCAAGCGTCTCGTTGCCCTCCGCCCCGTCTTTGGCCCCCTCTCGTTGCGAGAGCTTCCCCACAAAGACCCTGCGGCTCTGCTGGGCCCACCGGCGTCCGCCCCCACCCTCCCCCACAGCCTCCATCGCCTTTTCCAGCCGCCCCACCACGTCCCGCAGCGAGCACACGCAGAGCTCCAGGGCCAGGTAGACGAAGTCCCCGCTCTGCTCCCTCAAAAAGTACCGGACCACGTTGGGGTGCCCGTCGCTCTCGATCAAGAGGCGGATCTCCCGGTCCGCCGCCGCGTGGAAGGCTCGCAGCATCCGCTTCACGGCCACGGGGCGCTCGTCCAACTTGCCCTTGAAGACGATGGTCCCGTGGCAGCCGAAGCCCAAAACCTCCTCCACACAGACCCGGAGTCGGCCCACGCGCAAGACCCCCTCGGCGTCGGGGGTAGGGGGGGGGAGGCAGGGTCCGGGGTGGGGAGGGAGGATGGGGAGAACGGGCGCAGGAAGGAGGAAGAGGTTAAGGAGGAGCGTTGGAAGAGGGTGACGAGAAGGGCAGCCACGCCAAGAAGCAGGAGGAGAAGCAGGTCGTCCATGCCCCGGGACGCCGCCAGCCAAGTCGACGGCGAAAGCCAGGACCAGGAAGGGGGGGAGGGAGGGGGGGAGGACGGGGCGGAGGTCCCGTCCAAGAGGCGGGGCCACGGAAGACCGAGTAGGTAGTGTTGCTGCTGCTGGGCGCTTCCCGTAGAGGGCTTGGAGAGAGAAGAGAAGGAGGGGGAGGGGAAAGAGGAGGGTGGAGAGGAAGAGGAGGCGGCAAAGGAAGGGCTGGAGGCCACGATGGGCGGGAAGGCCAGGATAGGGTGCAGTCCCAGCAGGCAGGCGGGGAAGGCGGGCTCGCCCGGCCGGCACGTGAGGGCCCACTCGTCGTCCTCGCTCCCGCCCTCCCTCCCGCCCTCTTTCCCGCCCTCCCCTGCCCCTCCCCGTGCCCAAGGCGGCGAGTGAGGCGACTGGTAGGGGGACGCGGACGGTGGGAAGGCGCGTCCGCCCTGGCCCTTACTGCGGAGGGTGCAGAGACTGCTGGGATAGCCGGCGGGGCATTCATGGTGGTGAGGGATGCGAGGGAGGGAGGGGCGGGCGGAGGCTTGGCGGAGGGGAGGGGGA